ACAAATGGGGCTGAAGTCAAACACAAAAATGCGATTTGGCTTCATTCCTGCTCCTTCTTTTATAATCTCTCATGCCTTTATAATTGCTCCTGGCAGGTGGTAAAATGAGGAAAAACAGAAAAGACTCCCGCTGAACATCTCCAACAGGAAACTTTGCTTAAAAAACCAGGTGTCACATTGTGGCAGTTCAATATTTCATAGCCAATACAAGGAATGTGCAACAGCACTGCAACTTTAAATCTTTGCCTCCTGTGTCAGTCTATCTCCTCTCATTGTAATGCCAAAGGGAACAGCAATCAGAGTGGAGATGTTCAACGTGATAGAGGTCAGGACACCAGTGGATCAACGTACCAGAAACACGACCTTGTTTATTTTTTCCCCCAGTATTATTGTTTACAGGGTGCTTTGCTCATGTACCTTGTGGTTCTTAGCTAAAAGATGAAATTACAGCCCAGGATGAAGCGCTCAGGCACACATCCAATTTGTGTTTCCATCTCAGAAAACAAAAAGCTTCTGAGGCCCTCGGGCTGCCATTCAAACTTGGAGAGGCTGACATTTTTAACAGCATGAACCAGAGACTGGCAGAGGAATGATCTAATGCATTTCTGACTTGTCAATCAAAGATCTCACCTCTGCTGTCTTGTAAACAGTTGGGGGCCACCTAACTACATTCACAACCAGGGCAGAGCCTGCTGCCAGCCAGGGGGGTGCTGGAGCCACATGCTCTGGCTATTAGTCACCAGAATTAGGATTCTGCTTTAGAGGTGCACTGTAAACAGCCCCCGGGCAAGCTTCACACAGCTACTGGCAGAGCGAGAGGGGTGAATACAAAGCAGGCTTAGTGTCTCCATGCTGATGGAGTCTATGACTGGACACCCCATATCTTTCCCAATTAGAGACAGAACTATGCACACCAGCAAACACTGCCTCCAAAGCCAAACAATTTCCTTCAAATGTATTTCTCGCAAACACATTTCTGAGCATGCAGTTTGCCCACCCCAAGACTCTAGCTCTAACCTCCTGTATAACCAGAAATGATGTACTACTACTCACATTTACACTGTATTTCCAGCAATAAAACGTCAACTTCTAAAACAAAAGTGTGTGAACAGGCTGAAGGAAATTTAGAGACACAACTGTTTCTACCAATACACTGGCAATGATTCTTTGACAAATATTCCACTTTATAACACAAAAAAAAAATATAAACATTAGGAAAAAATAATATACAAGTAATTTGAAGAATAAGTTCATGTCTGTCTCACAGGGACAACAGACTTCCACCACTGCATGCCTTTAACATCTTTTGCATTTTCACCTTTCTGCAAAAGTAATCTCAGTCAACAGAGGTCACATCCATACTGCACAGCCTCAAGTACACTCCCTTTTGCTTCAATTTGCCTAGTCCAGTACACTCATACCTGCCTCCCCAGGCCAGAGCTTTTAGCCCAGACCAAGGAAGTCTCACTTGCTCACTTCTGCAAAACCAAGCAGAAGCTCATCCCCTTCACCTGACAAACCCTGAGGTGTAGTTCTTCATGGCCAAGATCTTCAGGTAAAACAAAATGCAAATTTCTGACGTTCTATAGAGACACTTCTGTATTCAAGAAGATGCTGCTACCTCCATCACACACGTTAATCCTCCTCTTTGATTACTAGAGCCTGTTACAGAAATAAAAGTTTCATATTTGGCAAAATAAAGCTGACTCTCTTCTTTTCCACCTAGGCTCCAGACAAAGGTAGTAAAAGCATGACTCTTGATCAAAGAAGTTTACAATCTAAACAGGAGCTGGTGTTTGTGTTGGCTGTGAATTAGGTAAAAAGGAAGAGGCGGACTGCTCTCTGCGATTATGGTGATACATCAAGACTTTCAAATTCCTTTTCAAACCTCCTCATTTATACAACAGCCTAAAGAAATGAATTCAAGGAAACACTTTGGTCTTCTGCAAACCTGGAAGGATTAATACAATCATTCCCTTGGCATACTTGATGGGTGTAATTGTAAATTTGAATTTTCAAAGTGCTCCAACTATGAAAAGCAACATAAATAGAGCCTGGTGAGCATCCAAGGAAAAATATTTTAACAGGGAAAGTAATTATCTTCACATGGAAAATGTCATGAAAACAGACACCTATTGGTACATCTGGAAACTTCCAAAGCACAAATTTCTAAGAAAAACAGAGAGTATTCTGCATATTTTTTTTTTTTTTATTATTATTAGGAGAATCTACATGCAACCTAATTTTCAGTTGTTTTGCAGATTAACGGTACCATAAAATCTGGCATCCAAGACACTGAAAACTGAATAGCTGGCCTCTGTCTCTTGTTAAAATACCCTCTTTGACTTGACCACTTCCCACAGTGCCTTATAGGAGTTCATGTTCCAATTTGCTGCCATTTTCCACCATGATGTTTTTGAAATTCAGTTACACAGTAGACTATCAGTTGCAAAGCCCTTTGAGATAAAAAAAGAGATGGAAAAAAGAACTGTTTCTAGCTCCTTATTCCCCTATGCATGTGTTTAGCCTTAAAGCCTTTCCCACTGCAGGATGATTGCCTAAAAACAGGGTTGAGGAACCAGAAGATCCTGTTTTCACCTGTCTCAAATAATAAAAACACAAAGAAGAAAAATGAAGTTACCTGACATATTAACAGAATCATCTCTAAATCAACTACCTGCCAATGCTTCCCATGAGGAGTCAGCAAGACTTTAACTGAGCTGTTCAAAAAGAGCATCTTTCCACATTTCTCTCTGAGCATATGAAGGCAGGCATGTAAATAACTAGACAAATTCAGCAGTGACTAAGTAGCCTTCCAGATGGCATCTTCTCTTTTGCCACAAGCAAAGAACATTGATATGCTTCTCCAGTTACTTCAAGCTTGCTATGGAAAAAAGAAAGTAACTTAATATGAGAAAATTCACTGGGCTACAAGAAAGTCTTTAATGCTTTCCTGAAGATTTGATACCAAAAAAAAAAGCATTAAAGAATGATGAAATACTGCAACATCACTGCTTCCAGCAGGCTCCAAACCACTCCCTTCTGCACTGGAAAATGCAGAAGCCATGCCTCAGAGGGGAGTTTTCTCCAAACCATGCAAGCTAATGAGGATCAATCAGAGCCCATTGAAAAAAAATGGACTGCAATGTGGATGACTCAGTGCTGCAGAAGCCGGTGCTGGCAATGTGGTTTCTCTCTCAACTGGCAGTAAATGTGTTCCTCAACACAGCAGTCAGAACCCAGTGAAGAGTACCAGTTTACCATTTCAGATGGCAAGTATGACATACTTCCCCAATTCCTACAGTCACTAAATGCATGTGGAAATGTCTCTCAAAATATACAGAAATGCGAATGTCAGTCCTACCAGTATCCCAACACAATCAATGGTTGTACAGCTGACTCATTTGACCCCAAATATCAATGTACTGCATTAGCAGAACAGTTACTGCTCATATCTACCATCAGTAAGGACATCTTAAGCTTAAACAAATTAATTTCTCTTTCCCTTTGTAATGTATGCCTATTTTAAGTAATCAAAAATAATTCAAGTAGAAAGGAAGAAGTCTCAATTTAGGTTTATAAATTACTTCCCATACACTGCTAAGCTAAAAGAGATTTGAGATTCATTCAACAGCCAAAAGCTTAGAAATTAGGTCCATACGATTTAGTCAAATTATGCAAATCAGGATTAGGAGTCTAAACTCTGCCTGTTGTCTCTAGAGTCCTCTTAGACTAACAAAAAGTCGTGTTTCCCCCTCCCCCACAGAAAGCTCCACTAAAAGCTTGTTTCAGCAAAGGAGGCCTGGCAGGACACCTTCCAGAGTCCATCAGTGCTACTGCTGTGTCAGGAAAAAGAGTTGCACCAAAACAATGCAAGACACTTAAGCCTCCTCTGGGACTAAGAGGATTATTTCCACAGCACTATCCTAACTCTGGGAGCAAGAAGTAAAACTTAAAATAATCTTTGCATGCTTTCCTTTAGAGGTGCATAATGAACTTACCCCAAAAAAAGGGAAAATTTCAGAAAGATTCTGGCCTATTATTTTTATTTGGTTTTGAAAGATGCTGGTAAATAAAACTCTCTGCCACAGGTTAGGCCAGCAGTAGCATAATCTAACAGCATAAACCTTGAGTAAATGTTCATGCTACAACAAGCTCAAATAAACATGCTCTCTGCAGAGATACTTCTAAAGTTCCTCAGTCACTGGAGTTCATAAAATACCGCAGAGTTTCCAATGTGAATATAACATCTCCAGAGCCCAGTCTCTGCTGTTATGTCCACATGTCATCAAAAATGCTTGCTTGTCTAGGTTTCTTGATGCTCACCCAGCACTTGTCTTAGCTCTCTACCCATGGGTAAATGTCTGCATTTTTTGAGTTCACTGGTCACCCAAAGGGTCTGAACAAATAGGTTTGGCAGAAAGCTGACTCCTGACAGAGAAAAGCCTGAATCTAACAAATTCAGAGATCAAAGGGGGAAAAAAAAAGGTTTCCTTTATTTGCCTTTTGATTGTCAGCTTGCTTGGACAATAATTTTCTGTAGTCAAAATGTCCAGACTCCTGCTAACAAAGCTGAAGTAAAGAATTTCTGGCATCAATTATCATCATGGCAATGGACTCACCCTCTCAGTCCTTTAAGTGGCACACAGAAAATTTAGATAGGGGGGGAATTGCAAATAGCCAGAATAGCCAGATTGGAGACTGTGTGATGGATGCTGTTTGCCAGATATAATTAAGTGGTATCTTTTTGACACAATTTAAAACCAATGAAAAGAAGATGATGGTATCAAGCCAACTTAGATAAAATAATTATATCAAGGTAAATGGAAATGCCCCAGCTGCCCTGAATCTACACAAGATGGGTTAAAACACCAGAGATCAGAATGACAGAGGAGAGGCACAGAGTATGAACCAGAATAAATAGAGGTCAAGCAGGCAAGTAAAGGAGATGCACACACACACAGATGGAGAGAAAAGGAGTGGGGAGAGACAGAAAGTACCTGGAAAGCTGGGAGTGCGCCAGTCCCTGGGTTATACAGGCATCGCAGCGAGGGCATGCTGTCCGCCAGGCTGGAGCAGCCCAGCCACAGAGATCTGGGCATAGAGCACTGCAGAGAAAGGACAACTATGAGATGGGACTGTATGAGACAGGATGGCACAGATTACAGGAACTTTTAAGGCTTAGCCAAATGGCATCAACACAACTGCCCTTTAAGAAAGCACTAACTGCTGAAGCATCTTTTCCTTGAGAGAAGCTTTACAGATGTCATAGTAGCAAAAAAAAAAAAGGCACTATGGATCAAGAAAATAAATTTTGATTAATATTCCACAACAATGTGTTGAGTTTTCCCAGTAATGAAACGTTTCTTTCCAATTTATCAGACCTCTTCTCTATCCACAGCAATGCTCCAGGCAGAACACAAGGCAAGCAATTTTGCAAAGAAAGCAGAAAAGTAAATGACAACTTTAAGTGTAATACTTGCAGGAAACTAAAAGGTTTGTGTTTTGTCTGTAAATGGGATAAAAGGAAAAACCTATGATCCAAGGTGAACAGGAAGTTTGTGACACTTTATAAGAGTTTCTGCTTGCCTTGTTGTTTGTTAAATGAAATACAATTTTTATAATAAATTGATTCCGTTCCTACAAACAAAAATACAAAAAAGGAGCCAAAGCAGCCAATCAAGGAAAATACTAGCCATTTTGATAGTTAAAGCCATTACCCCTTGAAATAGAGAGCTGCTTATTCATTTTACACCACTACTATTAAATTTAGGGATGCATTATGATAGCAATTGCTTTTACCAGACACAGTTTTTGATGCCATAAGCACTACTGCATTTGTCTAATTACTGGCAAAGCAGGAAAAAACAAGTGTATTTTGAATTGGCAGATAGCCATGAAAATTGAGGGATGTGATAGATTAGCTGCTAGAGATTTTAAACCCTCACATAGATGACTTTTTTCAATCCTGCCCCCACCTTTTTTTTTTTTTTTTTTTTTTTTTTTTTTAATAGAGGGGGAGGGAATGGGAGGAAATTTGAGTGGAAAGGGCAGCTGGAATGGGTATGAAATGACAGCTGCCTTCTGAGCCTCCGTTTCTTCCTGCTCTTGAGAGGGCTAGAAAACCTTGCGCAATCTTGCACTAAATGAGAAGTAAGAGCAACATAACCCATCTTTGAGTGAGCAGAAAGGTGATCACCAACATCCATAATCTGGTCCTGTGCAGACAGACACAGAGATTAACCTTGTCTGTCACCACATTCTTTGCTGTACTTTGTTGCAATTTACACTGCTGTTCCAGAATTAGTATTTAAAGACTGCTGGGGAATATAACCTATAGAAATGTTCTCAATAGAAGTTTATGATACCTTAAAATACATTCCTCGTTGCATTTTCATTAAAAAAAAAAACAACTCTTCCCTTTACAAAGATACTGAAACTCAAGAATTTGAGTACATATCAAATGAACTTGCTACTTGTATGTAATGGCCCTCCTAAAGCCAAAAAAATTACACCCATAGTATTCTAACAAGCTACAAAAGTGAGCTATACTTCCTTGTCCACCATTCTAACCTCCCAAACACTTCCACATATAAAAAACCTTCCAAATGCCAGAAATCTTTTCTTTGCAATGTAATATGTATCACTACAGCTACTGAATGCTGTTATGACAATAACTTTAAAAAAATTCATACATCAAATGGACATCCATAGTTATGCATTTCACCAATTTTATTTATTTAAATCAAAATAGCTTATTATTCTCCAAGAATGTCACAGTAACAGAAGATTCACTACATGGTGCCTCTGATGATGCAGAGCAAATTCACTAGGTGAGGATCAGCTGCTTACTGTTATCCATCCCAGGATTCATAACATAATACAAAATAAATGTGGGATGATTTTCTTTTTCCATACATAGTTATCCAAGACTTGCAGTTATTATTTATTCCATATTCTCAAGCTTTCCCATCTCTTGGGCTGCCTCAAGTTTTCATACTGTGATAATGAACTCAATGAACTGATTGCCATTAAAACTGCCTGACAATACAAAAAAAAGTTAGTTTAAATATTTGTACTGACTGCAGCATGGAATGGTACAGAGGCTGGAAAAATGAGGAGCACTCTGAGTGGAAAGGCAAGCTCTAGTTGACTCAAGGTTTACATGAGATTACAGCTCAAATCGGAGTCATTACAATCTGCAGGTAGGACACTCTATTGTGCTAGGGAACTTACAGGGCAATGAAATGTCTTCCTCTGAAATTGCCACAATAACAAAAGAAACCATTGAAGGCCTATTCTGCAGAGCTCTCTGTCCAATAGAGGTTATCATTCCTCAGCCATGTGCTCCTGCCACATAGTATTGTTCCAGAGTTAGGAAGTAGGAAATAAAAAACTACCAATTTCCTAGATGATTTCTGAATCTGTTCCAGTATACAACAAAATCTACATTAGTGATACAGTTCTTAAAAATATAAGCGTGAAGTTGCACAGTGTGGAAGGAAATGTCATTCCCATACTTGCCTTTTACCTACTGAAGGAAGCAGAGACGCTAAATTACTTTGGTGACTGAAAGAGACTTACTCACAAGCCTGAACAAAAGGCCCCAGGTGTTTCAATAAAAACAGCTTGTGTGTAAATCAGATGAGTGACCCACCAGAACAACTTCATTTAGAGCCTGATCTCTGAAAAATCTCAACAGCCTCTCTCCCCATGCATTGAGCAAGCCACGTGTCAAACACTCACTTTTGTACTGTCAGCTCCACAAACAAGGGACTGGCCTCAATGTTCATGACTTGAAAGCTGACTAAAAAAAATCCTCTCCTGAACTCAAGTCAATCTACATTGATTCATCAAAACAAAGATACAGAAGCACAGTGCTTGGACTAGAGCCAAATGGGAATGCTGGTACTGCTTGCTAAGTACTGGGCCAGGATGCAGCAATCTCTCTACTTTCCTAACTCCCAACTGCATTAATAGTACGGATGTCTGCACAACTTTCAAACCCAGAGACACAAGGCTTTTTATTTAGAAAAGCTAAGCATCTTTAATACACACTGAGTGGCATAAAATAGGGAATTATTTGATGAAAAACCCAATTTCTTTTTCCAATTGATTTTAAAATCCCATTCCCTGAACTCTGAAATGTATTTTCCCACTAAATAAATACAGGGAGTACAGTTTCAAACAAGACCAGCATCCTCCTTGTGACAGAGGCTGGTTCCAGCTGCTCCACTGGTGATTAAAATGGGTTTGCTTCCTTTGAATTAAAATAGGCTAGAAGCATTCACAGCCTCCGCCTGAGCTGAGTGGACAGTAACCATGAGATGAAGGGAAGATGTATTTTAACCTATTCAATTATTCTTGTAATTATATTGCAAGAACATTTTTTGACTACATCAGATGTTCTGCCTCTAATAGTCTACCCTCTTCCAATTATCTGATGTCCTAAAGACAAATTTCAATACACACTCAATAGCTAAATTTTTGCCAGTGCTAAAAATTGGTTATTTACTTTATTTGCTACTGCATTACAAGATTATACATTACCATTTCAGACTGGGTTTTTCTTATCAAATTTGTTCTCTTCTAGTCCTTCAGCAAATACAATATACTGGGGGTAACTAATACAGTTTTAGTAAATTGTGTTACAGGTCAGAAATGTATCACCTTGTCCTGTAAAACTAAGTGGCTCTACACAGGGGAAAAAAAAAGTTCTTGCATTACTACAGTTCACAACTACAGTGCACAGGCATGAAAGCATAAACTCACTATACTGAGCTCACTATAAAACAAGAATGCCCAAAAGACAATCAAACAACAGTTGAAGGATATTTTCTTTATAGTCACTTCAGAGAAATTAATTAGACAGTAGTACAAAATTACTGTCTCTAATTGTGGCACATTTTAAAATAGTGAGGTATTACCTACTACTCCTGTATGAAACCTGTACTGAACTTTGATAACCTGTGCACTTAAAACACCTTTGATTTACAGGCAGCCTAATACATTTTTGTACATCTTCACAAGTTAGGGACAAAGCCAAAGAGGAAACCAAATATTCTCCTCAAGGGTTGGTGTTTGGTGTACTGTACATAAGATTAATTTCACATGCTAACCACATCTATTGCAGCCCTTCCCTAGCTCAGAGCTGTTTCCCTCCTAGTACAGCATTCAGCACCTCACGCAGGTGAACTCTAAAGATAAACCAATAACGATTTCTAACTCTTCCAAAAACCAAGACATGAGGGGAAAAGAGGTTCTAGAAATTCTATCACCCAAACTGGAGCAGATAAAACATATGGGATGCTCTGAAGGGTATTTGAAGTATATAAACCAGATGTGAGCTTGATATGAGGAGATAGATCACCACTTCAGAAAGCAAATATGGTATGGCTGGAAAGAACAATTCTCCCTGAAAGTATCTTTCACACTACTGTTTCCTGCATGCTCTATAAAACCTAATTCTCAGGAAATGTGCCTAAGGAATTTTAATCCTTTATCAAACACATGCTCAGATCTTACTGGGATTCCTAATATTCAGAATTATTTTTATCATACACCACAAAAAAAATGGGAAATGGGAGAACAAACTTCAATACCTTTCAATCTCACTCAGTTCCTCTTACTCTTTTTTTGGCCACATACTCAACTAAGCCAATGCCAAAAATATAACATACATCACTTTCACATTGTGTTCAGTCTGCACTATTCCTGTCACCACAGAATGCAACACATTGCATGAAACATATCAGATAAGGCAGCTGCTATTTACATTACAAATGTTGGTCTCATGAAACTTAGTAACAATTCCAGAAATTTACTTCTGGCTAAAAAATTATTTTGGATCCTTTCCCTGGTCCGCTTTTCATTCTTTTAACCTCTTGCATAAAAATGAAAAGGTATCTCTTATTTTTCCCTCTACCGTTCTGAGAGGCGTTTTCTGAATAAATATATGTAAGTATTAAAAAAGTACTCCCAGTGCATCTTATATACTTTCACAATTAAAAAACCTGCCATACATATTTCATTTTTTAGCTTTGGTAGCTCTTCATATCTGAAAAAAAAGTATATAATACAACTTCTAAAAAAGCTGCCAAAACAGAAT